TACAAAGACACAGGAGGGTAGGTTTATAGTGGTTTGGCCAAACCATTTACACACAAAAGGGGGAAACAAAAACACACACACTAATACTAACTAAGCACAGAACAACATAAGTAAACCTAAAAAAAAAACCCTGTTTCTGATAGAACATGGTCGGTCCTGCTGAGCAGGCGTTTTGTTATCATCCTCAGCCACGCCTTTTGCCCTAGACAGGAAACAGCCACCGCCCCAAACTCAGAGAAAGAGAAACATAATTAATATAACAGAAAACATTTTTAGAAAAACCACACAATGCTATTATGTGTGCGCCTCATAATATCAATGTTAGGTTTAAATAAAATGATTAATGAATTATATTAATGAAATAACTGCAAACCAAACTAATAAAGTGAACAAATGGACTTGATGATTTAGCTGATTTAAAAAAGGTTTCATATATTTTAATGTTCTTTGAAAATCAAGATGTAGGCCTGTGTTTCTGAGCTAATGAACAACAATTTTTCAATAGATATATGGTCCTCACAGGACAGCCACTAAATTTTATGTGCAATTAAATTGAAAATTTTATGTGTGGTGAGGTGTAGTAATATTATTGTAGCATTCTTCATGCAGGAAGGAGTGCAGAAAAGTAAAGACGTCCATGTAGAGTACAGACAGACAGCAAAAATGGCTTGTTTTAAAAATGTTATCTTGTTAAACAGGGAAATGGAGGATGAAGGAGTTTTTGTTAGTGTGCATATTGTCGTCTCTGCTTGCCTTTGCACTGCAGTACCTTGCTTTGATCTTGAATTCTCACCTTGTTTTTCTTTTTGTCAATTAATCCTCATTTTTTTCCACATCTTCTGACAGTATAGTGCCTCACTTACTTTTGCTCTCCGCCTTCCAACGTAAAGCTAAACCAGACTGGACACAGAATTGCAGGAAAGAACACCAAAGTAAGTGATATGTAAGTATTCCACTGCTCCCATTTAATAGAGTAAAGCTGCTCCCATTTCAAACCAGGAAATGTTTGTCCACATTAGAAGAAGAAGAAGAAGAAGAAGAAGAAGAAGGAAAAAGAAAATGTGTTTGTTCCAGTCAAACAGGATGCCAACATGAGAAGTAGTTCATCTGTAATGATGATGATGATGATGATGTAATAGTAGAACCCAAGATATTTAATGGTAATGTTAAACAGCTTTACATAACCTTGCCAGACTATACAACATCCAAACACAACAGATTAGCCTTCTGTATTTTGATTAAATGTCATGTTTACTACTGACCTGCTATATAAAACATACTTTTTTCAAAGTTTTGAATTTGATATCTCATTCACCAAATATTTCTTTGACATGGTGAAAATCAGTTTAAGTCAAACAGTCTGTAAATAAGTTACACCCATGCAACAATGTTTTACTGTAATGTGAATAAGTCTCACTCATTTCTTTTCCTTCTTATTTTCCCTCTCACAAGGGGACCTCAGCTGTGTTGTAAGTTATTTGGCTGCTGCCCTTTTTCTTTTCTCCCTGAAGAGAAAAAAATAGAAAAATCCAATTCAGATCTGAGTGTGTTGAATATACAGTAATACTATGGTTGTGGTGCAGAGACTGTGGTGTGCTGAAGGAAAACGCTTTATACTGTAATACAGTACTCTCAGCACTTGATTATGTTCCACGTTTGTTTTCTTTTACTTCATCTTTTATTTCAACCATGCAGCTCAGATTGTCTTGTTTTTTTGCCTGTCCCATTTGGTTCTTTAGCCGTCAGAATTGTTGTCTGAAGACCAACAAGGATACCCAATGGATTTATTTTACCAAATGGATCATCATGGCATTGCCGTATTGGTCCATTTGATCGACCTTTGTTTTTATTATTTATTTTATTTTATTTTCAGTTGTTACAGACGGGACAGACATGAGTGAGGGATAGGAAAGGGAGAAAGAAAGAGGAAGGAAAAGAAAAGCAGAAGGGGAGAGGGACAGTGAGAAAGGGGAAAAAAATATCTCCTGGATCACCTGTTGAGAGAAAAAGAATAGAAAACAAGCAAAAAAAAAACAAAGCAACATACTAAATACAACACCATCGCATTAATCTAGCTAAGTGTAAACAGCAGTAAATACTAAATATTGAATGTTGTTGTGCAGCACGCAGGACAGACAGCGCACAATGTGCTTTGAAGTAGCAGCCAAGAAAGGTGTGATTTAAGTCTACGAACAGTGAACACCCATGTGCACACCTGTGTGGTTCGGCGCGCTTGTATTCAAATGGTTTCCCCATGTAATGGTCTGCAAGAGGGTGTAGAGAGCCATAGCTCTGTCCCCCAGGGCATGAAGCAGGCATGGAGGAGATCCAGGCCCCAGACATCCAGAGGCCCCAGAGTGCAAGAGCCCAAGGAGGACCACCGGAGGGGCATCCGTGCCACCCTCATGGGAAGGGCTGAGGATCCCCAGACGAGCGGTCACCCAGTAGCCACCGGGCAGAAGCTAGAGGGGGCTGCACCGGCGTGCCCGCCGGCTC